TACCACGTCATACCAGAATCGTTTACGAGCTGATAATTGGGCACATTCACATTGTTTGTCATTGGCACAACCGTCTGAACAGTTACAGCTCTAGAGAAGAAATACAAATACTAAATTCCATATGCTTGAACAACCTCGTTCCCAGGTTCTTATGCTTGAAAGCCTCCAAGAAGTCAAAACAATGGATACTTGGACGCAGTGGAGGACAGGGGATTGTCAACACAATGAAAATAAAATATTCCGATGACTGTATCAATGGCACAATATTGTTATGCAAACGACTCATTAATATACAATTACTTTATGGTTTCCGAACAGGTGGGAAATTTGTCTGAGCATGCGCGAGCAAATTGAAAAACACAATTGCGTGGAATACACGCAACGCGTGTTTGCAAAAAGGCACAATCGTGTAAATATTGCCAAATGTTTGTACAAAATAAATGACTGTTTTATGTTGAAAATGGACATGATCTAAATTAATCATACAGAATTTTTTAGTGACGTTCTATTTCAGTACCCTGCCATTGTCTCTGGTGGGCTGTCCGTGTGCATTCGATCTGAAACAGCCGCTACTATGCTGTCGAAAAATTTCGAATGTTTACATGAAAATAGAGGCAAGTCATGCATTTTACAACCTCGTAAACTGTATGAGCCCCTATTTTTACGCTTATACCTAAGATATCAAATAAAAATACATGAAACAGAGAACATTTTCAGAAAGTTTTATCGTGAGGCCACGGCCAGTTTTTAAAATATCTTTATTTCTGTTCCGGTCATCACCAAAATTACACTAAAGCCGGGCTTGAATATACAACAAATTTTGAATCTCACCAAGTACAAAAATATTTAACGTGTAACCAAAATATGCTCACGAAATCGAAATTAATAGCTAAATTTTTAATCTAGACCCTTCTCGAAACGGTTTTCATGAAGGAAGTTCACATTTCGGCCTTTGATTCCTGGCAAAAATTTGACAACAACACGTGCGAAGCAACTGGGTCTCAAAGACTCAGCTAAAACATTGTGAGCCCCTATTTTCCTGACGATATGTTTGATACCTACAAACACCTAAAAGTTTTTCTTTTCATTTACCTATATTTGAAATTGAGGCCACGGGCTATTTTTGAGAAAATCCAGTTCAAAGTCAAGCTATTTTTACATATTTTCAAAATTTGTCAAATTTCGCGAGCTTGTATTTTGAACTTAGACAGCTGAAGTTACATTAAGAAACATAGGATGGAAAATTTGAGGTATATAAAGTTAATTTCAACTTACATTTCATTCTCAAATCACGTCTTTCTTCGTTTATTACGGTTTTAAACAAGCCATAGATCGACGTATACGGTATTTACTCCCATGTTCACGTCGCCATATTAACTTCTTCCAATCACTCGATTACAAAACAAATGTCCCAAACCAAAGAACTCATAGTCGACTTTTAAAAGAATAACCGTTAATTTGTAAATCGTTGAATGGAAAGCAAAAAATCGTCAGGTAAAACAGCTTCTTGCTAGTTTCTGCTTTGTTTTGAATGTAAATGCAATGAGCTTTGTTTCTGCCCGCGATTTTTTGGTCAGCGACGACAAATTTCCCACCTGTTGCACGAGTATATATTACCGAAATCAGTAGAGTGTCTTTTCCAGAAGTTGAAAAGATAGTCGAAAGCCAGTAGAAACGTTCATGTTTTATGACGTCACGGTGAAGGAATGCAGCGTGGAACTTGTAAGTTATTTTACTTATTAGTAACTTTACTTAAGTGCCTTCCCACAAATAAAGATTCTCCCTAGTGTGAGGCGGTTTCTACAAAAAAACGAAAACCGACCAAAAAACCCCGAAAAAACCGAGTGAATCGGTTTTTTTTTTAAAAATATGTTCGAAAATCGAAACTACGGTTTAAAAAAGACACAACACGCTATATGAATATCTTAAACCTGTCTTCGCAGACGTCCGCCTTTATTACCAGCGAATCAAAATTCACCATCGTTTGATCTGCTTATCCGTTCAAGACCTCAAGCTCGCGCGAAATTGTAGAATGATATTAAACGTAAGGTATTTTGAAGATGTTATCAAATTTTAAACAAAATCTCTTTAGTTTTCGTGTGTAAATGCCAAAGTTGATTCATTTGCAACAGACCCGTATAAGTATGGTTCGATTTCGGTTTTCCTCCGGTTTTTTCGGTTTTCCGGTCTTTCTCCAAAAGTAACATCGATAAATTCGGTTTTCAAAAAACATCGGTCTTACCGCCTCACCATCGGTTTTACCGCCTTCTCCCTTTGCTCAAAAACTTGTTTTGTGTTTGGCGAGCCATTGGCAATTTGTCAAACTAAATAAAGTTTACTAATAAGTAAAATAACTTACAAGTTCCACGCTGCATTCCTTCACCGTGACGTTATAAAACATGAACGTTTCTACTGGCTTTCGACTGTCTTTTCAACTTCCGGAAAAGACACTCTACTGATTTCGGCAATATTTTGGCCGAATTTTGTCATTCCCTCACGGATTTTAGAGCGAATTTAAGCTCTTTGATCAAAGCATCGTTGTTTTGAGAATTATACAGTTCATTGTTGCAGGGGATGTCGATTAATCGTGAAAGAAATGCATTAACGGCGAAAAATCGAGGATAGTTTCGTGTGACATATGCCAAGTCTGGGCTATTTTGGTTCAATCTTTCCTTCCTTCTCTCGTTATAAGGAAGGCACAGGTGGGCGCGGGCAAATAGAGCCTGGGCCTCCTGTGGGCTGGTATCTCAACTTGAATCCGATTTAATCTGTACCCACACCCATATGGACCAAAATTTATTAGCTTGGTTAACCCTTTAAGTGGCAATGCGCCCTACTTTATTATTTTACTCTGTCTAATGCCAGACGATTTTACTCGTCAGAGGGAGAGTACTGCCACTCAATGTATTAATCAGACAATGTGTTCATGTACCCTGTTAACCCTTCAAATGGCAATGTACCCTACTTTATTATGTTACTCTGTCTAAAGCCAGACGATTTTACTCGCCAGGGGGGAGAGTGCTGCCATCAATTTGTTAAGACACAAATAACCTGATTTGCAATGCTTTATTTAAATTTGTAAAATTTCTCACTAATCCTGCTCACAATGTGTGTTCTGTTTACAAGAATTTGCCCCTTTTCCAGTAACAATGTATTATTTTGATATTCGGGCTGACCAAGCAGCGTAGGGGCACATTCATAAGGGCTGACCATTCTGGGGAGGGGCAACAAATTTTCTCTATTTCATTTACTATTAATTAAATAACCTGAATTTAAATTGTTAGAAATTACGGTTGCCATTGTGTAATTTTAGAAAGAACAAAACAATAGATACTCCGAAAATAATTAACACTTTAATCAACGTTGCGACTAGGTTTCAGTCATCATCAGGAATGACGCTTTTGAAAAAAATACCAAGATATATATTTACAAGTTAAGCGGATTAAATTAGGCGGTAATTAAATATCACAAGTTCCTTTGAGGCTTTAGTTCCGTGATTAAGTTCCAGTTTTTGGCGATGTATATGTAAAGACTCCGTATATAACAATAATGACCCATGTCTAGATTTATCTATTATACTACAGTTTTGGTATATGATGGCTTCTGTGGTATGCGGATCAAACTCATCTAGTAGTGTGTTAGGTAGGTTAAGTAGGGTCTGGAAGTATTGAAAATGTTCACATGACATAATATGTTTGTGAGCGTCAGAGTTTTTTGTCGGATAGGTGTTCTTTAATCCTAATTGTTCTGAGGCAGCGGTCAGTTTTTCCGATGTACGACAATTGACAGCCAGGGCAGCTAAATTTGTAGATAGATGGATAGATATAGATAGTTTAATTAAAAAGTTTACATTGCAGCTCATAAAAGCTGAATTGCGTAATCTATTTACAAGCTATTATAACACGAATTTAAAATTACATTAGATGCTAAGTTTAGATATGAGACAGTTCAAGAAAATTGTTAACTACATAGGTCAAATTGTTTTAAGACTTGCACATCGAAGGAATAAAAGTCCGCTTAAAGCGTTCAGTGCGTATCATTGGAATATTGAAGACTCGCTTCTTTCTAATGTCATAGTTTTCCTCTTGCAAAGGAGGTAGAATATTGTGTTACTTATGAGATTCCGAACTCTTGATGGACGAGAATAACTTGTCACATAACTTCATACGTCTATCTTTTAAAGTAGTTAAATTAAACTTCTGCAGGTTATGTTCATATGACTGATTCGGGAAAATGATAGCCAGCACTCTCTTTTGGACGTTTTCCAAGTCATCACACAAATATTTCGGGAGGGAATGGTGGAAAACCTGCGAGCAGTATTCCAACAGAGGTCTAATACATGTACAGAAAAAATTTCGGATGTCCGCTGTTGGTACTCTAGAACGTTTTAGTAAAATTAGGAAGTACATACGCTTATTAGTTTTCTAATTATTTCACCAATATGGACGTTCCACTGTAGGTCATTTGAGAGATTCGGACCTAAGATCTTCACATGTTTTACAACACTGAGTAGGTTACCATTTACTGTCAAAGGTTCGAAGACGTGTTTGGAATGCTTGAAGTCGATGATGAGTTCTTTGCATTTCTTGGCATTTAGCTGGAGTTTATTTTCAGTGGATCACTCTTCAACAGATGTAACTGCGTCTTGGACTTGACTATTTGTTTCAATCTGGACAACTTCTGATATGGTTGTATCGTCAACGAATTTCCAGCTACTAACATCTTGGATCTTTAGGTCATTAATCATAAGCAGGAACAGCCACGGTCCTAATTTGGTGCCTTGCGGGACTCCTGAAGGTACATCTCCCCATTCGGAAAAGCTGTCATGTGAAAGTTTGACCCGTTGTTTACGGTTCGTTAGGAAATCAGCTACCCAGCGCGCGATGCTCCGGGGAATATTTAGGCTAAGGATCTTTTGTACCAGAATTTGGTGGTCAATTAGGTCGAACGCTTTTTTGTAGTCAAATAAAACCGCTCTAACTGCGGCTCCTGTACTGTCCGTGGCTTGGGCCCAAAGATGGATCGTAGAGATGAGGGCGTGTACTGTCGAGGACATCGGTATGGCTCCAAACTGGCTAGGGTCGATGATCTCGAAAACAGAAGGCGCAACGTACAATTTCACGGCGAACTCCTCTGCAACTTTAGAAATAGCTGGTGTCAGGGAGATGGGTCTAAGGTGGTTATTGACATCTTCGACGTGCCTTTGTTTTGGTACTGGAATAAAATCAGCTAATTTCCAGGAGGAAGGAAGACCTTGATTAGTGAAGGAACAGTTTATAACGTGGCAAATGGGATCGGAAAGTATCATGGCATATTCTTTAAGAATCCAATTTCGGATGCCGTCAGGTCCGGGTGCTTTGTGTGGTAAATTCCGCAATACAGACGAAACAGCCTCGACCGAGATTTGGGGCAGTTCAGAGTTTGATTCGAAAGGAGGAGGAGGGTCAATGCTTTGATAATTTTGCATCGGTTCTAAAAAAGCCGTATTAATCATGGCGGCAATTTCGTGCGGAGAAAGTGAATCAATACCTGGAATTTGCAGTTGGGAACATAGAGACTCATAGCCACAAGGTGTTGCCATTCCAGCAATACGTTTAACTGCCTTCCATCACTGGCTTGGTTTTGTTTGCTTAAGATGCTGGATCTTAGAAGCGAAGTACCTGCTTTGGAGGATTTTCCTTTTTCGATTGACAAGGTTTCGGTAATGACGATAGTTTTCCATAGACACACGCCCCCGTGTGATTGGGAGACACGGTTTTTAAAGGTAAAATTATATCCAGCGACAAGGAGATGATCGTTAATAATTGAATCGTGTAGCCATGTTTCGGTGAAGCAGGCCAGATCAGGATTCTCTTTTTGGATAACACAACGAACTTCGTCAATTTTAGGTAAAAGAGGCATGGCATTCGCAAGCAATACGCTAGGACCTAAGTAATATTTCGTTGTGCAAGCACCTATTAAAGGCAACAGTTTGACATTCGTGAGATTTACAGTGTTCGCTTGCTTAGTACTATGTTGGAGTTTGGTAACATTTCTGTTGGTAATTCTCACAGGAATGGGACAACTTAGTACTGTAGATAGTCGGTTGAATTCCAAATATATAGACACATTATTTAAACAATTAGTAGTTGGGCCAAAAGGGTTAGGATGAGTGTTAGAGGTATACAGGGAAGAGGTCTCACAATTCACGCCGGGTCAGCTCTTCCCAAAAATCGGCCATCTGATATAAACTTTTTCAATATATTTCGGATGGACATGAAACTTGCTACATCAATATAACTTTCCATTCCGAACAATCGTATGTTTTTTATTTTTGAGATTTAACGGTTTTTGGCGGGAAAATGACGTCACGAAACCTCCAGTTAAAATTTACTTTCAATATCTTAATAGTTTTGTCGCAGAATTTGGATGAACATGTCATGAACAGTTCAAAACTGAAAACGGATTTTAAATATCTAAACCTAATCCAAAGTTATTTCACTATAAAAACCGTGAAAAATCTAAAAATAGTAACAAAATGGTGGAAAATTCGATTCTAAACTCCCTGTATCTCGTGATTAGATTAAGATAATTTAAAATCTCTTTTCAGTTTTGAACTCTTCATGACATGATCTTCCACATTCTGCTTAAAACTATTAAGATATTGAAAATAAATTTTAACTGGAGGTTTCGGGACGTCATTTTCCCGCCAAAAACCGTTAAAACTCAAAAATAAAAAACATACGATTGTTCGGAATGGAAAGTTATATTGATGTAGCAAGTTTCATGTCCATCCGAAATATATTGAAAAAGTTTATATCAGATGGCCGATTTTTGGGAAGAGCTGACCCGGCGTGATTCAATGTACGGGAGGTTTTGTCATTATTGACATGAGTGGTGGGGGTCTTGTCAGTGGGGGCATATGTGGAGGTACATAAGGGCACGGAAACGGCTGAGACAGGGGGAAAAACCATGGGAAACGAATCGGGGGGAAATAATTTGGGTCGTACGGAAAAGGAAAGGGAAATTGGTTATTACTGCATTGTGGCATGTTAGGAGGGGAGATCTTTCACCACGCTTCAGTGGAGATGTCTTTCCGCGTGTTCCACTAGGACATTGTCATGCAAGAAGTCACATCTGTGTCCCTTTAAACAATATCCCCGCCTTTTCAGAAACGGGCATGCCACTAGAGCTTTCTTCGTTTTGTCTGTGTTGGCAGTATTTATCGTAGGACCATGATCGTTTCTGGCGATTGGGCTTGCATTATGTCTATTCATATTAAGTGGCGTTTTGACTGCTGATGGACTATTAATTGGACTTGGATTGTTTGTGTTTAAATTATGCAGTTTCACACTGCTAATGGGTGTCGTTACGCTTGGAGTATTAGTTGGCATGAATTAGTTGCCGACGCACGATCATTGTTCTCCTGGTTATTATCTGTTAATCTAAATACTAGATTTTCACGGGACACAAGTTTCGATTTAAAACCTTCGTTAATATTAAGTGGAATTTTGACTGCTGATGGACTATTAATTGGACTTGAATTGTTTGTGTTTAAATTATGTATTTTCACACTGCTAATGGGTGTCGTTACGCTTGGAGTATTAATTGAATTAGTTGGCGGCCCACGATCATTGTTCTCCTTGTTATTATCTGTTAATCTAAATACTACATTTTCAAAGGACACAAGTTTCGATTTAAAAACTTTGTTCATATTAAGTGGTGTTTTGACTGCTGATGGACTATTAATTGGACTTGAATTGTTTGTGTTTAAATTATGCATTTTCACACTGCTAATGGTGTCGTTACGCTTGGAGTATTAATTGAATTAGTTGCCGACCCACGATCATTGTTCTCCAGGTTATTAACTGTTAATCTAAATACAAGATTTTCAAGCGACACAAGTTTCGATTTAAAAATTGAATTTTCCTCGCTAAGTTTATGAATCATTTCTTCTTGATGCTGTATAATGGCTTCCACATTTGCTTGTTTGGCTTTAAGTAAGTTAGTGTTCGACGCATTTTGGGAAATTACTTCGGGTAATAATTTGCCTTCCAAAATTGCTATGTCTAATTTAATACCTTCAAGTTCAGTTGTTATGCTCCTGTTTATACATTCACAGTCATGGTTACATACTTTAGCTAAGGCATCCCTTGCTTCGCTCACTTCGGCTTTATTTATCGATGGACATGACTCCGGTGATTCGCTGTTACCAGACATATTTGGGGTCTCAGAGCATCCATGATCATTGTCCGTAGCTTTGACATTTGTCAACTGAGATGTCTTACTTCGTAACGCTACTTTGGAGTTCTTTATCCGTTCTGTCTTTTAGGCTCAGATAGGTGTTGGTTCTGGTCGTGTCATAGATAGTGATAAATTTGGGACGGGCAATCAATAGTCGGGATATTTTGTTTGTACACGAGCGTATAAGGGAAGTTCCTGTCTTGCCAATGAACGGAAGGTGAATCCAGATTGTGGGCGGTTTTGGTTGCGCATGCTCGTTTTCAATGTTGTTGTCAGGAGCAATGCCGTGGTTTAGAGATGGTGGTGAAAATGCGTTGATCAGCTTGTTGGTGATGTGACGAGGGTAGCCATCCCAAGATGCAAACTCAACAATCCTTTGTAATTCGTCCTTTAGGAGGTTGATGTTGCTACAGATCTTGTGTGCGCGGCTCTCAGCCAAGGCTCTCAGCCAAGCTGTTTTGCTGCACCAAGAAGTAAAGCTCGAGAGATGGATGTATTGGCCTGTGTGTGTGGATTTGCGGTATATTGTTGTGCCAGATGAGTTTATTTGATGAGGATATTTGAATGACCAACTTAACAGACAAATTGACGGCGTATCTATGGGTTCGCCTTTATGTCCTACTCTCGCTGATATATGAATGACTGCCTTTGAGGACGAAATAGTCCGACCTCTTCTCTCTTCCAACTTAATTAAATTCTACTCGCGCTACGTTGACGACACATTAGTACTGATTAAACCTTGTGACATACCTAACGTACTAAAGAAATTTAATTCCTTTCACCCACTCATTAAATTCACACACGATGAATTCACTGACAACAATGATGTTCACTTTCTGGATATTAAAATAACCTCATCAGGCACAACGATATACCGCAAATTCTCACACACAGGCCAATACATCCATCTCTCGAGTTTTACTTCTTGGTGCAGAAAACCAGCTTGACTGAGAGCATTGGTCCAGCGCGCACACAAGATCTGTAGCAATATCAACCTCCTAAAGGAGGAACTACAAATGATTGTTGAGTTTGCTCCTTGGAATGGCTTCCCTCGTCACATCACCAACAAGCTGATCAACGCATTTTCACCACTACCTCTAAACCACGTGATTGCTCCTGACAACAACATTGAAAACAAGAATACGCAACCAAAACCGCCCACAATCTGGATTCACCTTCCGTTCATTGGCAAGACAGGAACTGCCCTTATACGCTCGTGTACAAACAAAATATCCCGACTAATGATAACCCGCCCCAAATTTATCACGATCTATGGCACGACTAGTACCAATACCTATCTGAACCTAAAAGACCGGATAAAGATTGGATAAATTACAGATAAATATAGACATTGGTCATTATTGTTATATAAAGAGTCTTTACATATACATCGCCAAAAACCGAAACTTAATCACAGAACTAAAGCCTCAAAGGAACTTGTGATATTTAATTAGCGCGCAATTTGATCCGCTTAACTTGTAAAGATATATCTTGTTTTTTTTTTCAATAGCGTCATTCCTGATGATGACTGAAACCTAGTCCCTAAAGGTGGAAATATTTTTGCGTGTAAATTTGACGGTCATAGGGGAATTAGTTTGCTTACAACCTTTAATAAAAATTTGAAGCGGTTAGTTTTTTTTGAGAATAAATCAGAAACCAAAATTGCAATTTACATAAACTACAAGGATCTTATATAGGCGTGAACATGATGCTCTGACGACCTCATTCATTATTGATGAAACAATCAAACACTATTGTGAAGAGGGAGATAAAGTTTATGTGTTCTACGTTGACTTTAAGAAGGTTTTTGACAATCTTTGGATAAATGGAATATTGCCTTAATTGTACGATGATCGACGTGGAAATTGAGGAAAAATGTCTAACGCCTGTATTCTAAAAACTCACTCACGCTCATAGTCAAAGAGTGGAGGTTCAAGCTGAGCTCCCCTTGAGTGTCAGAGCAGTTTTTGAATAGCTGCACGGAGGGTGAGTAGTCACATAGTAAGGTACAACACTAACCCTCCAGCTATTCAAAAACAGCACAGACACTCAAGGCAGGCTCAGATTGAACCTCCACTCTTTAAGTGTGAGTGAGCTTTTAGAATTCTGGCGTTAGACATATACATCAGTGGTATAGTGGGATGAGGGTAACGGTTCGTATTGGCAACTGTTTCTCTAGATGCTACGATCTTCTGCAAGGAACTCGAAAGTGTGTTATTTTATCTTCGTACCTGTTTATAGTCTGTAAATGATTTGATAACACTACTGCACGCAGCTAAGGTCGGGGTTGTTGTATATGGCATGTTTTATGGCACACCGATGTATACCGATGGCCTTAAAATGATTTCTCGTTTAAACGGATATGGCAATATAAATTAAGTTTGTCTCATTTGAAAGAACATTTAGAATGATATATAAACTTTCTTTACAATTATTCCGTATATTGCTTGGTTTTCGAAATAAATAAACCAAAGCAGCGTGCATTCCGCCATCTTGCATATGCATTCGATATGCATACGTCACAAGCAGGGTAAGAACCGAAATTTTTATCTTGTAAACCAGATGCCATTATCAACATGAAACTCAATTTCCGTTAGTACTCATTTAACTCCCAACATTTTAAGAAACTTTTCGAAGGGATTTAGTCCCACATGAAGAAGTTTTGACAAGCTTATCCTGCTTGTGACGTCATCAAAAGCTCAGTTAATCCCCGAGCCAACGGCACGGAGGCCGTTCCGGGAGTAAGCCCAGGCTGAGGGTACTAATTTCGGCCGGCTATTTACACCCGGGGAAACAAAATCATTAGCGAAGTATAAAGTTCATCAATGATCACGGGCGTAGGTCACTTTGCGTTTTGGGTGTGTAGTCATCCTCACTGATCTAAAAAATATGGCGCACTGTCATGAATAGTGAACACTGATTGGTCAAATTTAAAATTTGCATTTTAACGAATGCATGACGACAGCGAAATAGCAAACATATCTTGATTTGATGATTTCTTGCGAATAT